GGACCCTGTCACCATTTATGGCTTTATTAGGGGTGGCCACGTCACTTTGCCACTGTCACCCACTGCTCCCTCCTGGGACCCCCCTCAGCATTTATGGCTTTATTAGGGGTGGCTGTGTCACACTGCCACTGTCCCCTCCTGGGACCCCCCTCAGCATTTATGGCTTTATTAGGGGTGGCACTGTCACCCCTGAGTGGTGGGACCCCATGAGCATTTAAGGTTTTAATAGGGGTGGCCACGTCACTTTGCCACTGTCACCATCACTGCTTTGTGTCCTGGTGCCCCCTCAGCCCTTGTGGCTTTATGGGGGACATTGCCACTGTCACCCCCTGTCCCCTCCTGGAACTCTGTCACCATTCATGGCTTTATTAGGGGTGGCTGTGTCACACTGCCATGTCCCCTCCTGGGACCCCCCTCAACATTTATGCCTTTAATATGGGTGGCCCTGTCACTTTGCCACTGTCACCCATCTCTCATCCCGAAACCCCGCTGGCATTTATGGCTGTATCAGAGGTGGCCCTGTCACTTTGTCACCCACTGCTCCATCCCAAAACCCCGCTGGCATTTATGGCTGTATCAGAGGTGCCACCTTGCCACGGCTGCCCGGCGCTGCCCGTAGGGCTCAGGAGGGGCTCAGCCTCCCTTTCATTCCCTGTTTTTCCCCATTTTTCCCCATTTTTCCCCCATCCCCGCTCCCAGCTCCGTGTCCTGCTCCCTCCCTGTCTCCCACCCTTTTCCAGCAGCAAATCCCAGCTCGGGTCTGGTGTCCCCAGGGCTTGGGGACATTCCTGTGGCTCCAGGGGCTGGCANGTAGGGCTCAGGAGGGGCTCAGCCTCCCTTTCATTCCCTGTTTTTCCCCATTTTTCCCCATTTTTCCCCCATCCCCGCTCCCAGCTCCGTGTCCTGCTCCCTCCCTGTCTCCCACCCTTTTCCAGCAGCAAATCCCAGCTCGGGTCTGGTGTCCCCAGGGCTTGGGGACATTCCTGTGGCTCCAGGGGCTGGCACGGGCAGGGCTCAGGGGGCCACGGGCGCTGCCGGTGCCAGAATTGCCCAGAATTACCCAGAATTGCCCAGATTTGCCCAGAATTGCCCAGATTTGCCCTGAATTGCCCAGAATTACCCAGATTTGCCCTGAATTGCCCAGAATTACCCAGAATTGCCCAGATTTGCCCAGAATTACCCAGAATTGCCCAGAATTACCCAGAATTGCCCAGATTTGCCCAGAATTACCCAGAATTGCCCAGATTTGCCCAGATTTACCCAGATTTACGGCTCATTTGATGTAAACAAGGCTACCGGTGCCAGCTGGCAGCACCTGGGCACTCGCCAGGCTGCAGCCTGATAGATTATTTGTTTGTTTTATTTAGTTATTTATTTGCTCATTGTTTGGTTTATTTATAGTTTGTTTGATTGATTTGTTTATGTTTTTATATAGTTCTATTTTATCTTCTAATGTGTTATTTATTAATACCTTTGTTTATAATTTATGTATATTTTATTTATTTATACTTTATTTTTATGTTTTTATTTTATATGTTTTGTTTATATTTTGTTTATACTTTATACTTTATTTAATTTATTTGTTGATACTTAATTAATTTATATTTTAATTTTATTCTTTTTATTTATTTATACTTCATGTATATTTTAATTTTAATTAATTTATTTATACTTTATATTTTCATTTTAACAATTTTAGTTCTTTGTGTATACTTTATTTAGATTATAATTCTTATATAATTTATGTATCTGTTTATATTTAATTTATAATTTGTTTTTATTTAGATCATTTATTTGTTGATACTTTATATTTTATTATTATGTGTTTATTTGTTTACATTTATAATATATTATTTAATTTATTTATTTGTTTATACTTTATTTATATGTTACTTTTTGTTTATATTTTAATTTTAGTTTATTTATATTATTTCTAATTTATTTATATTTAGCTTTTGTTTATGCTTTATTTATATATTTGTATTTTTATTTAGTTAATTTTATATTTTATTTATTTATTTGTTATTTATTTAATTATTTATTTATTTGCACCTTGGCTCCCCACTGCCAGCACCACCCGGGACAGGCAGGGAGCTGCTCCGGGATGAATTCCAGAGGGACAAGAGTGGGATTTGCCCTCATCCCTGCTTTCCCACCCTCCAGGCCTGTCCGGGAACCCCACGGACCTGGAGAAGCGGCGCCAGGTCTTCGGCCAGAACTTCATCCCCCCGAAGAAGGCCAAGACGTTCCTGCAGCTGGTGTGGGAGGCGCTGCAGGACGTGACGCTGATCATCCTGGAGATCGCCGCCATCATCTCCCTGGGGCTCTCCTTCTACCACCCCCCCGGCGGGGACAACGAGCGTGAGTCCGGGATGGGCTCCGGGATTGGGTCCTTCCCTGTGGGAATGGGGGTTTGGGATGGGTGCTCCGGGATCGGCCCCTTCCCTGTGGGAATGGGGGTTTGGGATGGGTGCTCCGGGATCGGC